ATATCACACTCATCATCTTCTCCATAGTTGATAGACCAATATACACAAACCTTGTGAAAGAATTATGGAAACATGCTTATGTGGGATGTGAAGGTTGTCCCATTGGGTCTCGTATCTTTGGTATTCCCGTCTCTATCACTCATTTCTCTATTACTCTTGCCATTGGATGTGAAAACATTGGTCTCATTGTCGAAGAGGCAAAACTTTATTTTTATTTGGTTAGCGAAGTAGTTGCTCTCCATGATACTTCAATCAGATATGAGCCTACCAATTCTAAAAAATATTATTCCCAGTCCAAAACTCTGGTACAAGTTTCTGCTAACAAACTTTCGTCCTCGAGGAAACTCTAAAGATACTCTCCTTCTAGATAATTGGATTTTCCTAGTACTTCTGATAGATCAAATTAGGATTAATATTCCTCAAGCTATTTTCAACTTTCTGCAAAAATCTATTATTTCCTCCAGAAATGAAAACAAGTGTTTCATATCTTTTGGAAGAATTATGTCTGAAATCTTCTTTAAAGAAGGGATTATTGAGATTGCCAGGAAGAATGAATCAAGGTCTCATAAATCGTATTTGTGTCCCATAAATCGTATTTGTGTCCCATCTTTGAATATCATGTCTTAGTGTCTGTTTTCATATGTATCTATTGTTTAAGTAGTCTAGTTTCAGTGTCTTACTTTTGTTTTACTATTTTCCTTCTTATTGTATCTTTAAGATAATCTTTTGTCTTTCTGTTCTACGTGTTTGTATTCTCCTAAATCATTAATGAAATCTTCTGATTTTGTGTGCTAAATTAATTCTATAAAAACAACTATATTTTTTAATATTTATCAATTTTTTTGGCAATATATCTTGAAATCTTATTTAATTTTTTTTTTCATTTCGTTTATGTTTAAAATTTCTCTATATTTAATTTTTTTTGATAATGTCAAAAAGGGGGAGAATGCATGATGATTTTGAAACATACCTATATCTCTAAATCTCATTGCTTACATTTCTAATATATATATATATATATATATATATATATATATATATATATATATATATATATATATATATATATATATATATATATATATATATATATATATATATATATATATATATATATATATATATATATATATATATATATATGCAAAACCTTTTAGATTGTGTTTTTGGTACAAAGTAAAGGAATTAAGAACTTATAAAGGTTAGAAGGTTCAATCAATTAATATATGATAAAAGGACTTCTAATGGTTTGGAAGGGTCGGTTGATCAAACTCTGATAAAAAGAAATTATAGGAAATAGAATATTCTGAGAGATCGAGTGTTGATAACGAACTTCAAACATAGAAGGGTCTGATAGATCAAGCTATGATAATGAACCTAAATGATGATTAGAAGGTTCTAATGAAGAAAGAATGTCCGATAAAGAAAACTTTTATAAATTGCTTCCATCTGCTTTAAGTCAGAATTCTAAGAAAGGATAACAATGCTCTCAAAGCTCTGAAAGATCATAAGTTTATGATTCAGGGGAAGATTGTTTATCTCAGGGGGAGTTTTTTAAACTCTTACTTTACTTTGTTTATGATTTAACCCTGTAAAATTGTTCCATCAAAATACATGGTTTTGTCATCATAAAAAAGGGAGAGATTTTAAGAACATGATTTGGATCTGTGTTTAAACTCTGAGTTTTGATGATAACAAGCATATATTTTATGCAGAACAATTTTATTTCTAATGGTTTCTTTGAGTTTGAAGATACATTGTTAGAATTCTGGATAGTCTTAATCAAGATATCATCAGAATCACTTCACCACTCAGAAGAAGAACCATTGAGTTATGTTTCTAATGGAACATTAGTAGTTCTATGGAATGTTGAATGTTAGACAAGAAAAGAATCTCAATGAGTGTCCAAGAAGAAAGAGTTTCTGATAAGTTGTTGCTTGAAGATAAAAAATGAAGAGGAGATAAGAAATAAGCTTCCAACGTAGAAGATCAGAAGTCAAGACTAGTTCATTAGAAAAGTTGTTTCTTACAATTCTAGAGACGAAGTCAAGATTCTAAACACATATAGAGAAAGCTTATACCCCAAGATCAGAATTCAAGATTTTCTCATCAGAAGAGTTGTTGCTCATGTATCTGAAGACAAATTCAAGATTCTAAAGACTTGGAGAATTCATGGATTACCCACCTTCATTCAACATCAGAAGAAAGGATTAAAGAAAGAAAGATCTGGTGGACTCATTTCTAATCAACATCTCAAAGTCCATCAGAAGACAAGATCAAATGATGATATATTCTCAAGCTAATCTGCTCAGCAAAAGTATTATTTATAATAAGACAAATATCATCATAAGTACCATTGCACTCAACAGAAGAACTATTGAGACCATTTCTACAGAAACATCATCAGTTTTAAGGAATATTGAATGTTTATCAGAAAGGGAATCAAGTATGCTCACAGAAAGGATTCCATTCTCAACAAGAAGTTTCTAAGAAGGAATTCATGATCAGACAACAATATGTAGCTAACTTAAGTTGTTGCTTCCAGCTCAATCCAAAGATCAGAATTCAAGGGATCAAAAAGAAGAAATTCAACATCAAATCATATTTATTGATATAAGTTATTGTTTTAGAAATCAGGCATCAGATATGAAGCTTAGAAAAGATGATTATCAAGCAATCAAGACAATAATCAATTCAAGAAGTAAAGATCAAAAAAGCTTTCGCTCAAAAGAAGACATTGTTCATCAGATAAGTTGTTACTTAAATATATGAAGACAATATTTAACTATCTGAAAGATTCTGACTATACAACAATGAAGAATCTTCTGGATCATTATCCCTTTCATCATCATATCAGAATCAATCCAGCAAGAAGTAGAGAAGATAAAGACAAAGATCAAAAGACATCTTCCAAGCTTACTACTTCAAGTCAGAAGTAAATCATCAAAAGACAAAGTATTAAGAAACTTAGCCATGAAGTTTACAGTAATACGATTAAAATATTCTACTACTTGCTTACGTATTGTACTATGTTGTCTCCCACAATGAAATATTACTGTTACTGTAGATGGAAAGGGAAAGCGACGTCTTCGTACTACCAACAGTCTTATTCTCAAGTCTATATAAAGATACCTCACCAGCATTTGAAGATCGATAAACTATCAACCGTTATCACGCTTGAATCAAATTATTGAAATATTGTGAAACACCAAGAGAAAAGAAGAATCACTATTCATATACATCTACAAACATTCTTCTAGAAAAATATTAAGAACACAAGAGTTGCTGCTCATTATCGTGTTAAGATATTAAGGATTAAACATAAAGAGTTTTTGCTCATTATTTGTGTGTTAATCTTAAAATTCTCAATACAAAGAGTTGTTGCTCATTATTTGTATTAGATATTTTGTTCTTCATAGTTGTGTTAATCTGCTTATTTAGAAGCCAACATTATAAACACAATTGATTGTAATTATGTTAAGAATTAATTATTACCTCAAGTGAATAGGTTGTTAGTCTGAGACTTGAGAGGGATAAGGTGTCAGTTAGACTCTTAGACGATTGCGGTTAGTCACCGGAGGATAGCCCAAGCATCTGTAATCTTTTGAGATTAGTGGATTAAGTCATTGTTGAAGGAGAAATCACCTGAGGAGGGTGGACATGAGTAACCGAGTTGAAGGTGAACCTGGATAAACCAAAGTGTCTTTTATTGTCTTTTAATTGTTATATTCTTTCTAGTTAGTTTGCAAATAATTTTAAAATTAAAATCTTTGTAGAAAATCCAATTCAAATTCCCCTTTCTTGTGTTTTTCTCACCCTTCAAATAATACATGGTACAAGTTCAAATGTCTTCACTACTCTGATTTTGTGGCGCAAGAATTGTACTATGGTACAATGTTGTCATCTACTACTCTCACTGACTGTTACACAAGAAGGCAACTGAAATTCAATATTACTATTCTATCCTCTAACGAATTTCTTTTTTGCTATAAAAGGAAGACATGGAAGAATCGGAAATAAGAACTCAACGCTAAACAATTTTGTTGAAACACTGCTCAACTTTCTACTGAAATATATCTTGTGTAAAGTTTTGTAAAGCAATGAACTTTTGTTCATTAACTTTCAAGCAAGGAACTTTTGTTCATTTAACTTGCTATTAACATTGTTATGTGATTTCTTTGTATTTCAACTTGTGTAATCTCCTATCTAAGAAGCATCTTTGTAAGCACACTTTGTATTTCAACTTTGGAGTTGGTAGTTCCTTAAGAGACTAAGGTATAGTCAGAAATTCTCAAGAAAATATTGACGGTTAGTCTTTGTGGTTTGTAACATTGACGGGTAGTCTTTGTTTGTGTTTGTAATCATGTAATCAGTTTGATTATAGTGGATTAAGTCCTTGTTGAGAAAGACAAATCACCTTGGTGGACGGACTGGATTAAGTTCGTTAATAGTAAACCAAGATAAAAATAATTGTATTCGTTTATTTTTATTTTTGTTTCATCCTTATTTATTTGAAAAATCTAAAAGATTTTAAATCTGAAAACCCAATTTAAACTCCTTTTTTTTTTATATTTCTCGTACTTTCAAATAATAATATCTAAAATGTAGAAATTGTCATTTCAAGTTTTATGTATGTCTAAAAATATATTATTTCCTTTAAATAAGCAAATCATAGATATTTTTGGTTGATTGTCAGTAGATATGAAACAACTAAGGAGCAATGCCTTATACAAAAGAAAAGAAGAAGAAGAAAAAAAACTCATCACCAATACATATGGATATGATATCACATTCCAGTACATAATAAATTATTACACATATTACATCTTGTGCAGTAATTAAAAACAATTTTCTAAGAAAATATAGATTTCAAATACAACTCATAATCAGGTTCATCGTAAGGAAAAGTTTAGTGTGTAAATTTAGTTTATTATAATTATGTTTGTTTCAGTTTAAAAAAAAAAAAAACTAAAACAAACGGAGCCATATGCAGTTGCGTTTCAGGTTTGAATTTTAACTTTGTCTATGAAAGACTTGGTATCAATTCCCTTGCTATAAAAGTTGTCAATAAATTCTTGTTGAGTGAAATCTCGATAATTTGCCGGTTTCTCTGAGGACACCAATTCAGGAAGAGGCCCATGGTAACCATCTTGTCTCCATTTACTCAAGTTCAAGAACATCACTATTGAGATTCTTGATTTTTCATGTGAATTAGCCAACACCCTGTGTTGTACACTCTTATACTCCCCATTAGATATTATCTATAAAAAATATATATAATCAAATGAAATCATCACAATAAACTAAAATTTCATATATGCATGCATGTCCTATATTCAATACAATAAATATGGATATTATTTTAATGTTAATTTTAATATATTAAATTTATATTTTGAATTAATTTATAAACTAGTTAACTTTTCCAGTTCTATGCATTGGCCTACTTATACCCCACTTGCAACTACTTATACCCCACTTGCAACCTTAAAGTCATTTATTCTAATCATGTTGGTTGGGAATAGACCTAGAGAGACTTTTTGGTCTATTTTAGTTTGATTTGACTGGATTCCTTTAATAAAAGTGTTAAGCTTTTATTTGTAAAAAAGTATATTTTAATCACTTTTATTATTCTCTTAAATCAATTTTACTATAATTTTTTATGAAATGTGATAATATTTAAAAAGTTATTTTTTGTGTAGATACGGCATACCTGAAGAAAGTCGCCGATATTAACTATGATACCACCGTGCACAGGGTTAACATCCACCCACTCACCGCCGTGCTCCACCTGCAACCCCGGCACTTGATTCTGCAACAACAACGTAATTGCACCAGGATCTGTATGCGGTGTAATACCCATAGTCAAATCCGGTTGAGGACAGTAAGGATAACAATGTCCCACCAACACTCTACTTTCAGCAAAACTCAACTCCTTCAACTTTCCACTTTCCAATCCCAACCCTTCAGATAACAACTCATAAACCACTTCAGCAACTCCAACACAATTCAAGTCCCATTCAATCATCTCCTTCCTACAAATCTCCGGTAACTCCTCGGCTTTCGGTGTCTCTGGTGCCATCCATGCTTGCAGAGAATCATGCCAGCTTGCAGCGGTTGTTCTGTACAAGTCGTTGTTACTTGCATACATAACTCCACGTCCTTCTTCTCGTTTGTAGTATTTGGATTTTGTTTCGTGTGGTTGGTTATGGAAAAACTCGATGGCTTTGATGGTGCTGTCGAGAACCGACAAGTTTATGCTGTGGTTTATGATTTGGAAGAATCCCCATGTTTTGGCTGCTTGTTTGATTTGGTTTATGATGTTTGGTCGGTGGTTTGGTGAAGCTACGTTGGAGAGGTCGATGAGTGGTATTGAAGTGGTTTTGTTGGAGGAAGATTTTAGGTCGGAAAGTGTTTGTGGTGGGTGGATGAAAATTTGTGGAATGGTTTTGATGCCGGAGTCGGAGAGACCTTTTACACCTATTTTGGACTCGTCGAATTCCTTCACTGCTTTTGCTCTGTCGTAACCACTGGTTATGGTTATGGCTGCCATGTTTTTTTTTCTAGCTTTGGGCACATAATAGAGTGATGATATGTTCTTATATACTGCAAAATCAATTCAATAGATTATTAGGAAAAGTAAACAAATTGTTAAATGTTAATTTTTTTTTTTGACACAGTTAAATGTTAAACGTTAAACGCTTTAGTTATTAAATTATTTTTGTATTATTTTATTTTTTTGGTATGAATTGTTGTATTATTTTAGTTGAATATAAAAAGCTATTATATCCCTCAAACTATAAATATTGGAAATTGGATATGTTTATCTTTTAATTTAATTTCAAACATTTATAACTTAACTAATGTAGGTGAGAATATACCACGTCGGTTTATATGGACGTCTAGCCTATTTAAGGTTTGACTAGGGTAGGCTTATTTATTAAAAATGTTAGGTTCAATGTTTTATAAAAAAAATTATTTAATTAAATAGGTTAGATTTAGTTTATTAAAAAAAAATTTATGAAATCTTATAGATCGGTCTATATTTTTATATATATTTAAACAAAATTAATTGATATGTACTGTTAGTATAAAAAGTTTTACACCATCAATACATCTCGACCATTCATAAATAATATTTTTGATGTGATTTAAGAAAAAGTCAATCACATATAAATATTTAACAGTCATGATATACTGATAGTGTAAAAATTTTTTACATTGTCAGTGCATATCAATTAAATTCTATTTAAAATAGTCTAAATAGATTGGTCTATTTATACATATATATTAGAAAAAATACTAAATAGACTGACAAATATATACATATATATTAGAAAAAATTCTAAATAAGTCGGCCTATATATGCATATATAGGTCGACCTAGAAGAATTCTTAAGTAATATGAATTTATTGAAAACCTTAATGAAGAATATGCTTTTAAATGGGCTTTCAGACCAGGTCAGACTTTTAAAAAGGGCACACCAAGCCAAAAAAATGAACCTATAGTAGGTCATAAGTCAGACTCAGACCTTTTAAGTTTATCGTAGGTCAGACTCAGGTCTTATAAAGCTTAACCTAGCCTATTTTCATCCTTACTCTTGGTAATTTACTTGTGGTAAGTACAATAGTGTAGATCATGTCAGCAATGGTCTTTTGTTTATTGATATACAGTGATTCTCCACTTTTTCACAATTATGTGATTCTATATTTATAGTTTTAACTCTCTTTGGTCTTCTACATTTATTAGATTTGACATATTAGTTAGAAAAATAGATTCAATTGCTCCTTAAATTTAGGGAGTGACTTTTCTAGAACTCGCCACCGCTATAAATAAGACCTAATTGAGTTTGCGGCGATCTCGTCCATGTTGGACTTGAGCCCGCCAGTGTTGAACTTAAACTTGTCCATGTTCTTTTGAATACTCTTTATAAGCTTAGCATGTTCTAACCCTAAAGATCCTAGGTCAACTAATGCCTTTTTCTTGTACGAAAAATTTTAAAATGTCTCTTTCGCCACATTCAGAAATTAACTTTTGGATGCACCCAAGATCAATCAACAACAGTTTGTCTATTTGCAATGGAAAGGGGTGTGTGAAAATTTTGTGTCTGAAAGTTGTTATATGGACAACAAGTTACCTAGTATGGATATTGATTTCTAAAGTTGTCATACCCTAATTTTTACCCCCAAGATTTCATCTATAATATCATTTGCACTTTATCAAATTCATAAGCACGGTAGCCTCTCAACCCTCATATCTTTGGGTTTATTGTGTGGGAGATCACCAAGCACCTTTATTTTTACTTTTGCTTTACTAACCTTAACTAAAATACAAAAATGTGCTTTGTTCCTTTTGTTTATTTTGCATGGTATGGTTTTGAATCAAGAAGATCAAGTGTGGTTATCCAGTTAGGGTTTTTGAATCCTCAAGGTCAAAGATGGTCAACCATTGATTCTCGAGGGCTTATTCATCAAGACATGATCTATAATCTTAGGTCACCTTCTCCTCAAGCTTCATTTTACACCTTTTGATTAAAAAAACGTTCAAGTTGATTGCTTACTTTTTGTCATTTCAAGTAGGTTCATGAATTTATTTTCATGCCTTCTTCATCAAGTTTTCTCAAGCTTTTGTCAATATTTATCAAAGAACAATCAAGGATAATGCATTTGGAGTTCATATGTTCAAAAATGTGCCTTGGATTATAAGAAGAGGTCAAAAGTTGCAAGTTGGTTCAAGGTGTTTTGACCTAAAAATTAAGTTTATCATGCCTATGTTCAAAATATCATAAAATTTTCATACTTTAACATTTTTTATTGGTTCTTTGGGAAAAAGGTTCATTTTGATGTCCCCTTCAAATCCCCTTCACAAGTCAAAGGCCAATTATGCTCATAAGATCAATTATAGTTTATTTTTGGACTTAGAAAAATTTGACCTATAATTATAAGTCATGACCTCAACTTTACATCCATGTAATTTTCAGCTCAGATCTCCAAATGCATTTATTCTATTTGCATTGTTTTATATTCAAGGAGAGGATTATTTAGAAAAATACATATAATGGTTGAGTGTACAAGATTTACCATGAGCTTGAAGATGGCTGCAGAAAACTGTGTTTTGACCATGAATCAAAAATAGAACTCACTCAAAACTCAAATGGAAACACCTAAAGCACGTGCAAACTTATCCCAAATGGAAAAACATTGCTCATAACAACCTGAAATTGCAAAGAATCATGCATTCCATGCTCAACATTTCACACACTTGGATATAGATTTTTCCATTCCATTCACACGCTTGGGATCTAATTTTGACACAAGCCATGACCTCACTCTCTTGTCCTATAAATAGAGAGTGATTATGCACTGAAAACCAAGCTTGATCATCCAAAAAACATGTCATTTTGAAGCTCGAAACCACCCAAAATCAGAAGATCAAAGCCTCATTTTATTTTATTTTCAACTCAAATTTTCTGCCTAAAATCCATCATCGGCCTCTTCTGAAGCTAACCGAAGCACTACAGAAGCTTGTTGTGGCCTCTAAGCATTGAACTAATTCCATCATTTTCAAGCTTTAAAGCTCAGTTGGGAAAGGTAGATATGAGTTTTGTTTTCACTCAAACATGTTACCATCCTCTTCGCCTTGTTCCACCGATTGTTTCCCCTCACTTACTTTCAATTTATTCTTCATATTTGAAATTTAATTTTACTTTAAAGCTTGCTAGGATTTTATGTATTTTCTGCAAATTCTCCTTGCTCAGATCAAATAAATTGATCTTGAGCATGGAGACATGAACGATGAAGGATGGTGAAGCTAACCAGATGTGTGGTTAAGCTCAAAAATCCAGTTCATGGAGTTGCCAAAGTTAGGATTCTGAGGTTGAAGACGAAGTTGCTTCACGCGATTTGGCTCCAATTTCAAATCCTTATCAAATCAGAAGCATCCACGCGTACTAGCCTTTATTTGTTTTAATTTCTTTTTTCTTTTAAACCCTTTTTATTTAATTTTTTAAAATAATTCAAAAAATAGACCCACTAACCTTTTTCACTCCTATTTTTTTTCTATTTTTTTTCTATTTTGTTTTGTTTTTAATTGATTTTAACCATTTATTTCTTCATTATCTTCAAACTTTTTGTATCCAATCTTTTAAGATCTTGATCCTTAGAGTTTTCTTGATCTTCCATAATTTATTTGAACATTTATTTGATGTTTTGATGCTTCATTTGAATTTTCCTTTTATTTTCCATTTAAAACCATTTTAAAAATCATTTTAATGTACTTTATTTGTTTATTTTTTTTTCATTTAATATTAGTTTGACTTCTGTTTACTTGGATCATGACTTTTTTGATCTAATGCTTCATCAATATCAATGGATTTTGGGTGATACTTTGTTTGCACGAATCTTCATCAATTCAAACATATCATTAAATGATCATTTAGATCATTTTGGTACTTCGGATTGATGATAGGTTTATCACATTGATGTACCAAGAGAGGTTATTGAAATTGATGATAGATTGATCTAATATTGTGATTCAATTTGGTTGCTCTCTCTATTCATCTCTTTCTTCTTTTATTTTGATCAATTGGATGATCATGGATTCATCTTGTTCAATTTGTTTAATTGATGTTTGATGAACTTTCATCATTTCAAATCTACCTCTAAATGATCATTTGATCATTTTAGGTACTTTAGATTAATGATAAGTTTGTCTCAAGGTATCATGAAAAATTTGTTTGAAGTAATGATCTAATCTCCTTACCTTTGTGTTTGATCACTTTTTTTTTGTTTTGACTTATGTTGTATTGTTTTAGGAGAATGGTCTATATCATTTCTCAAATATACATGACACATAAATTGTTATTGACCCGCCTCAGTTAGGTGTAACTTCTACATAAGTTCACTTATGATTGCTTAACATAGCGCTAAATTTGTCCTGAATCGGATTATTAACTACTAACATTAATCATATTAATTGTGCTAACTTTATATTTCTGCACTTTTACATTAATTTCATTTAATGTATTGCCATTTATATTAATGCAATTTAATTTCAGGATTCTACATTTCAAGCATTTACATTTCATGTCATTTTATTTTATGTCTTTTTATTTTTTTTCCTTGGGCATTTCTTTTTCTTTTCATGAAAAGACATTAATAAATTAAAAACCCTAAAAGACTTAATGTGGACTTAGACTTGATGTCACTATCCTTGGCTTGGAAGTGGACTTATGGACTTATATTTAGGTTCTTGATCCTATACTTTAGAAATTGGACTTGAGACTTTGAATTTCATCTGATACATTTTTGTAGCGGTAAAAAGTTGAGACTAAGCCATTGATTGACTTAACTCACAAAGTGAAAGTCGCCATCGCACTTTATTATTTCAAAAGGAAAATGGGAAAAGAGTGAATAGACCCAAAATTAAATAGATATCAAGCTAAGGGGTTTTTTTATGCAAAGGGGAGGTATTAGCACCCTAATAATCTACGGTACTCTGCAGGAACCTCTTTGAAAATCTGTGTATTTGGCTAAAAAGAAATATTTACAAAA